ATATATATAACTAGTTTGTAATTTTAAAGCATTTGGTAAGCAGTATTTCGGAAAACATCCACAAGAGCGGTATAAAATGGTTTGTAGTATGATGTTAGCATGTTTTTTGCCTTATTATTTGTTTTCGTTCAGGTGGCCGGCAGCTACAAACAATCCCGATTCTGGGACAAGAGAAATCATCAATGGATCTCAGCGGTTTCAAATTAGAAGCAGTGAGTTTAAGGAGGTTTTTTATTGGAATAAACTAAGTTATAAAATTAGGATTTATTAGAGTATATTTTAATCTTTCTTATTAAGAATCAACAGCCCATAATGCGCACTGTGTTAACTGGTGCAGCACCGAGAACAGTTGGTTCTGGTGGAACTTCCGGCACATCTTTGTCTGTTTCTGTAAGTTTCTGTCTAAATCCTATTATTCAAAAATAATAAATCTCCTGTGTAGCTGACGATCAAGGACACATTATCTTAGTTAATTTGACAGATTGTACCACTTTATTCTAGTTTTTAATTGGACTATCAGTTTGGCAGATTGAGAGCACTGGCTCATTTATATCCTCTTCTGCTAACAAATGTTGGACCATTTTCAGATACTGTATCTCTTTCATTTTAATTCTTTTATGGATAGTAAATTTCTATACTTTTATATGTACAAAACAATATTGCATCTAGTTCATCTGGATGCAATATATATTATTTTTTCTTATCGTCTTTTTTTTCAACAGACAGTTAGTATTCTGGATGGCACTAGCGATGGAGTTGTCGCTCCTCTGGTTCCAGATAATTCGGTCCCATCCTTAACAACTGCTACCGCATCAGGGACTCCAGATTTCACGAAAGCTCCACCGGACTTCTCTAAACCACCACCAGTCATCGATATCACAAATGCTCCTAACAAAAAGTTAGTTCCTAAATTTTTCCTTCCTATGGTTTTGGTTTATTTCCATTCGCTCTTAATTTATTCTTGTATGCTATTTTCAGTAACGCACCGATACCGACAGTCTCAGCTCTTCCCAATTTACCGGTCTCGGCTAATGATGGTCCACCAGGGGTGGATGAACCCGCGCCGCCTGGTTCGTCTACGCCGCCACCAAGTTTCAGTGATATGAATTCACGACATATTCCTACGGTTGATACTTCCATACCACCGCCCGGGTATTTTCTTCATACTCGGTTTTTTTTTTTCACACTCATCAGAATTCAAAGCGCTTTTGCTGAAAACAACAACTTCTACATTATAGCATGTCACTTCAGGTTTAATCCGATGCTTCCACCACCAGGGATTGGCGCACCACCGCCAGTAAGACTTGGATTGCCAAATACAAATGTACCTCCACCTGGTTTCAGTGTACCTCCACCCAACTTTTCACAACCACCACTCAACTTCCCACCACCACGATTCGGTAAGTTTATTTTATATTATCTTCGTTTGAAGTCGAAATTTTAAAAATTTTATGAATTAAGTTTGTCCGTTTCAGGGGCTCCAACAACTCCGCTTTCGCGGCCTCCTCCACTAATGTCTAGACCAACTTTCCCACCCCCTGGTTTGGATCGTCGAGAACTTAAAGATGATGATAAAGACCGGTCCGATCGTGATCGTTGTCGGGAACGTGAAAGAGATCGTGATTCAGGTGACAGGTATACCTTCCCTTGACGTTTTTAGCTAATTTTGGAACAAATTTGACGAATAAATCTATAATATCCTGTATTTATCTAGTTGTCGTGTAGAAAACTCCATATCTACAGACTTCTATGCGACATGCATTGTCAGATAAACTTTTCATTGTTTCGTCAGTTTCTTGTTTCACTTCTGAAGTGCTATCAACTTTTCTGAGAAAGAAAATTATGTTGTTGAAAGCTTATCGGGAATTACGAAGGAAATTATTTTTGGCCTGTTATAGTGGAGAAGATGATTATAGCAGCAGTCGACGAAGGTATCGGAGACGATCCAGATCGTACTCCCCACGGTATGGTCTATCGTTAAGTTTTTCTTTCGACTACTTCCGGTTTCCTGTAAGTTTCTAGACAGGGAAGAATGCTAATTCCGTTTTGACGATTTTTAAAATGATTATCAAGTACAAAAAACGGCAATTTTTTGTTGGCAGGTCTTCAAGACGACATCGTGATGATCGAGATAGGGATCGAGACACAGAAAGATATCGAGAAAAGGATCGTGACAGAGAATCGCGATCCAGACGACACCGTTCACGAAGTAGTTCACCTTATGAAAGTCAGTTTGTATAGTCCCTTTCTGAGCGCTGGCAGGATAAATTTTCAAAAAATTTATCCAACTTTATAGCTGAAATTTTAGCCACTGCTTGCTGGAAATTGCTATGTGACTTTATGCAAGCATATATTTGATTTCTTTTTCTTGCACATAGTAGAGTCTTGCAGAATTTACCTGGTAAACTGACGCTGGCATTTCTTCTTTGACTTTACTTACCTGCTGTGTTGCGAAATTTATGTAAATTGATGTTTTCGTATATTTATTAGTTCTGAACTCCTGCTGCATATTTAGGGTAAAGATGATAAATAAATATGCCTTTTTCGAGGATTATGATTTATGAAGCCGTTCACTAACTCTTGGCATGTATTGGATTATTTTAAATGTATGTAAAACATTACTGATTCAATTCTGTATTAGGTTCACGCAGCTCACGAAGGAAAGAAGACCGTGATAATAAAGAGAAGCGGAGAAATAAAAAAGATGAGTCCGGAGCTCGGGTGAAAGAAGAACTTCCAGAGGAGAAAGATGATGATAAAAGAGAAGGAAGCGAAAGAAAAAAGGACGATTCAGAGAGAATTGATCGGGACAAAGATAAAGGCAAAGATAGGGATAGGAAAAGAAGGTATTATTTTGTTTTTCTTAATTCTTCAAGGATTGAAGAGCATGGAAGTAACTAAGCATGGCGAGGTTTTAATTCATTCCATGCTGGCTCCATTAACCTTAATTGACAATGACACTTCTTGTAGGGGAAGAAACTGTACTGTTTTATATAACAAACAGATAACACTCCACATGCCTTGACCTGTTAGTGTGGTTCTAGATTTTGTATAATCTTTGGACTCTACTCTCCTCGGAAAATAGTGAGATGATCCTTTAGGTCATTTTGAATGTCACGCTCTATACTGCATAAAACATCTATTCTAGACGTCACAGAAGTGATGATGATAGCCCAGACAAACGAGAGAAAGAGAAGAAGACAAAAGTCAAGGAGGATCCATCGCTATAGCCCATCCACGGAATCCACACTTTCTGCTATGATTGGTTGTGTATTTTCCATTATATGATCTGAATCTTGTTCATCTATGATCTTCAAAATTAGGAAACGTATTAAAAATTTTGGACGTTGAATAGTGGCAAGATTGATTTTACTTCCAAGGGGAACCATGATTCATGTATTCAACTTTATATATTTAACGTAAGTAACTGAGCTGATGAAGCAGTTTTTTACACAGAGGCATGTATGGAGAGTATTATATTGCATTCAGAGGTCTCTACTTTTTCACATTCAAATGACGGGAAAGAAGACGGCGTGAACTTGTTTGCTTATGATAGTGTTTCCAAACTTGATTCTAGGTTAATTTGTCGAAAAACAATCCAATAATTTGTTCGGAATAAATACTGAAGGAATTGGGCTGACACAAACAATTATAACATAAAGGCAGTTCTTAAGGGAAAACTGCAGAGATTCCAGCGTATCAGTGGAC